GGATGCTTAAACCACCAGTACTTGGGCCATACATCGGCCGGGGGGCGTTGCCGTTAAGGCTGGCGCCGCAGGCCAAGAGAAGTTTTTTTTTTGTTGCGCTGGCGGGTTGGCCCAAAACAACGCGCAGCCCGTTTTCAGGCTCGGCATCGACAGTTGGGCCAAGTACTGGGGGTTTAACCGGAGAGTAACCGGGATGCTTAACCGAGAGTAACTTCGGTGCTTAACCGAGAAAGTAACCGGGGTGCTTACCCGAGAGTACTAACTGGGGTGCTTAACCGAAAAAAGTGACCGGGATGCTTAACCAAGAATAACCTAGAACCCTTCGCTGCTTAACTGAAAAAAAAACGCTGGCGGGTTAGTACTCTCGAGTAAGCACCCCGGTTAAGCACCCCGGTTAACCTCTCACTCTCATCCTCGCCCGTACCCTGACTTGCCTCATAGCAAACCCATCCGGTCAAGTCGAGAGCGACCGGACTCCTTGCGAGAAAGTGTAGTAAGAGAGGAGCAAGAGCGGGGAAGATACGTCGAGAGAATAGGACTCCGGGAGTGAGGGAAGGACGGAGGGAGGGAAGAGGGGAGGGTGGGCCAAGTTGTCACACACGGATACAAATTCATTCGTCAATCCAACCACGCATGGCCACTCTTCGGAAGTACTTGTCGTTTAAAGGCCTCACTCCACGACACATCGCTCTAGATGTGTTTTTAGCCAATAATCATCCTCAGGCTGATGCACTCACAACACTCTGATGTATTTTGAGCCAATAATCATCCTGATGCACTCAAAATGTTGGACTCTGAACGTAGAACAGTAGAGGGAGTCTCTAAGGGTAAGAAAGGGAGAAACACGATCATCTGGAGGCTGAAACATGTTTTTTATCTTCCCCGGTGCCACCAAGGGTGCACATCGAAGGCTTACCTAGATTCACACCCAAGACGCCCAGAACTCCAACTAACAGAAGCAATGCATAAGCGGAGGACGGATGGATGAACAGAAGGAGAGAGGGGGATCGATGAAGGCAGAGAGTGAGGGAGGGAGAGAGGCTGAGGAGTAGAATTAAACCACCAGTACCTTTCCCAGCTATTTTTTTCAGAGGCGTGCTGGGTAAGGCAACGGCTCGAAACAGACAGGCGGCTGCCGATTAAATAGAATCGGCGGCCAATCTTGATTTTCGGACCGCCGGCGGGCCGGCGCATAGTGCCCACAGCAGACAAATGGGAAAGCTATTGGCGGTTTACGAACTCGGTTAAAGCAGAAAAGAAAATTATACAGATTCCAAAAAAAAACTCAAAAAAGCTCACGGTCGAAAACCGTTAACGCATTGCAAATCGAAACACGACGACTGACGTTTCACACATGCAACGTAAAGTTCAAAATTAAATGGTAAAAAGAAAAAAAAAAATCATTTCTTGCCCGATTGGCAAAATTTCTTACAGCGCAGTATAGCGCAGCAGCACCGGATTATGTACTACTCTTATCTATACGTATAGATCTCACGAAAAGGGTCCCGGCCCTAGATACGCTTCTATATCATGAGTTTTGCAACCACCTATAATTTCTATTGAATGTCGAAGCTTTTCCACTTTCCAAGGTTTTCTCCCCCCCCCCCMCCCTTCCCCCCAACATCCCCCCCCCCCCCGGAAAAGAAAAAAAGAAAGGGAAACCTATTCATCAATATCTATAGACTAAAATAGGCCAAGTGTGAACGTCTCGACCCCGTAATCTAAAAATATACTAAGGTACAGAGTTTCCTGAACCCCCCCCCCCCCCCTCTCCCCCCCCTGTCCCCACCATCACATGTTTTACCCGTGTGATTCTTCATTAAACGACACACAAGTATTCTTGTCGCCGGCGCCACCTACGCAGAACTTGGTTGCAGAAAGTCCCAAAGGTGTAGGTGAGTGAAACCGCCCGTAAAGAAGATGAGTATGCTTGTCTTGTCGCCGGGTGTTGACGGCGCAGAAGAACTTGGTCGCAGAAAGCGCCAATTTGAATTTGAAAGACTTCGGCGTGCCGAACAGTTGTGGACGTTGGGAGGAGTGGAGGGAATTACCAAACTCGCGTGGAGAAAATCCAAAAAATCCAAAAATTGTAGACGTGTTGAAGAGCCCCAGCACAAGCATCAAGTACCTGCCGCCGATACAGCATCATCCTATGCACGATTTTCATTTCACGTCATCCCAGTACGCACCCTTCGACTGCTCTCTCTCTCTCTCTCTCTCTCTCTCTCTCTCTCTCAAGTTCTTAGAATTCTAAAACCAATCCTGCTCTCTTCGTCGCTCATGCTGTCCAGAGAAATACACCTCGATACAAATACCCGCCGCCGGCAAGACGACATGCAGCGCACACCTCAATACAAAAACCCGCCGACGGCAAGACGACATGCAGCGCATGCTTGTCAATTTCTTCGTTCTGTCATCTGCCACCGCCATTCTTCCTTCCTCTTCTCTCTACCCCCCTCGTATCCTTTCTTCGTCTCGGACCCCACAACTACATAAAAATGGCCGCCAGCAGGACGACATGCAGTGCACACTCGTCATTTTCTTTGTTCCGCCTCCCACAGTCCTCTACCACCGACATCCCTCCTCCCTCTTCTCACACTGTCCTCTGCCACCGCCATTCTTCCTTCCTCTTCTTTCTACCCCCCCTCTTATCCTTTCTTCCTCTCCCCGAACCTAAATAAAAATGACCGCCTGCAGGATGACATGCCGTGCACAGTCGTCATTTTCTTCTTTGTTCCTCTTCGCACAGTCCTCCTCTACCACCGACGACATCCCTCCTCCCTCTTCTCCCTGGTCCCTCTCGTCCCTTCTTCCTCTCCCTTCCCTGTCTCCTCTGACACAAGGAACACAGCCGCCCCACCTTTTTTTTTTTTTTTTTTTTTAAATTGCTCCATCCATTGGTGGGGACCATCACCTGCCGGAAAGCGGGTCCAGCGTCCCATTTACAGACTGAGAATTCCTTAGAAAAACAATTTTGGGAGTTTTTTTTTTTTTTAGCTTACAATCCATTCAAAGTTTCAAACTCCAAAAGAAAGCCACACCTACCACCGCCTGACGAAGAGAGCACTACTCACACCAACATACTTTTTCGATGGAATACTCACACCAACATACTTTTTCGATGGAATTTGGCCGTAATTGCAGCCAGATCCCTTTCTCTGCAAGAAATTGCACCACATATGAATCCGGCCTTAAAGTCGTCCCTTCCTTAACTCTGCCTCACTTCAAATTTCCAAACCATGGTAAACCGAAAATGGCTCCGGCAAAACTCGGCACGCAGTCACAGTGGGAATCCGCCTCTTACAAAAGAGGCTCGGATTTTTTAACCCAGCGGTTTAAAACCGTTTAACGTCGCAAGAACATCCCGCGTGCGTGCGTTCCTTTCGTCAAGCTGCTTCTTGAACAAAGCTTTGACAGGAATTTCTTTTCCCACAAAATGCCCACAAATTATTGGCCACAAATTGGCCACAAATTGGCCACAAATTGGCCACTAGTTGGCCACAAGTTGGCCGCAACTTGTTCGCCGGTCGGCCACAAATTGGCGCAAGCGGCATTCCAGATCCTGATCACAGCAGAGATATCAGCTGCCGTTAATCTTCGCTGATCAGCAGAGATATCAGCTGCCGTTAATCTTCGCTGATCAGCAGAGATATCAGCTGCCGTTAATCTTCGCTAGCTGCCCGCTGCCTGCATTCTCGCTCTGCTCAAAGATCATGTGCTAATCTTGTCACTCAAGTAAAGACTCGTAATCTCGCAAGTCACAAGTCCGTCTTAGACAAGTCACATGTCCGTCATACACAATCAGAAAACTAGAAATGTATGGCCTCTACAAAAAATCCCATCCATCCTAGCTTCGCAAGGTACCAGCCACCAGTGTTAACAAACACTCGAAACCATCTCTCTCTCTCTCTCTCTCTCTCTCTCTCTGTGTGTGTGTGTGTGTGTGTGTGTGTGTGTGTGTGTGTGTGTGTGTGTGTGTGTGTGTGT